GAAGCCGGATGGTATATTTCACAAAAATCACTCACACTCACAGACACACACATACAACAGACAAGAGCATGGAGAAACATCTAAAATGCACAACCAAAGGCATATCTTCCTGAAGAATGAACTTTCTACCCCTACCACCAAAAGAAAAAACAAAGCTCCTCTAGTCAAACAGCGTCGGTCATGGAGTGTCTTAAAGTAAGTGGGGTCTAAAATATTAGTCAACAATTGTTTGTTCTCGCTTTAAACTTAATTTAATCGAAACTTGACCAGCACACAATAACAGGGCAGAGAGTGCATGAGCACCTGAGGTCACCCAGAATCACCATTGTCAAAAAAAAAAAAAAGGTGGTAAAATGCCAGTGATCCCAGAGGGATTACAGACAGATGTACAAGTTGTCCAAACACAAAAACCTGATTAAGTGTTGTGTGTGGGATATCAGTATGAAAAGCATGGCTACGGTACACATCGTAAATGAGTGCAAACACGGCAGCGGGTTTCATGTTAGTCACACTGTAATAAGGCTGCATCTATGGCAAACATCGTTATACATTTTATATCTAATCTCCGACTTCTCATTAGCTTCAAGCATTTTCATCATCACTTAACAAAGCAGTTATCCAAAGTGGGAATGTTAACGATTTCAACAAGAAAGAAATTATGTAACCGAACCCTGTACAGAAGAAAAGTTAAAAAATCTCTGTCTAAGCAGATATCACATGTCAAAACAGCCATCTGCTGTCTTGGCTCATTTTAGAGTATTTCTACTGACCTCAGCACTGAGGTTCATGAAACCATAAAGTGAATGAGCAGGGCCACCTTGTGGGCACAGAAGGACTGAACTGCAATGCTGACACGCTGAATGAACAGAGATAAGACTGTGGGATTGTCAGAGTTGCCATGAAGCAGCAGCATAACCATGGTTAATACTACTTCAAATTTTAAGAGTGGAGACCAGTCTGTCAAGATCTGATTCAATCAAAATAACATTAAATGGTTTGAAGACATTTTAACGACACATCACCAATACATGACGTCACACTTATGTCTCCGGCTGGTACTGAAAAACTGCACAGATGTTTACCTTTTCAATGGTTAAAAATAATTCATATTACTTTTCCCCCCTGACCAAACCCCATCACTCCTTCAGCCCCCATCAGTCACAATCCGCAGAGGTCGCATTTCAGACTGGCCATCCTTTCTTGCTCTCTTCTCTGTGTCCCATCTTGGATTTGACGGCCTCTGAACTGTCTTGGTTGAGAGCTGGTGGCAGGTGGATGATGGGAGTTGTAGGAAAAGCAGAAAGGCAGAGATAGAGAGGCATGTCCAAGAAGGACGAGGCAGCGACATCACATGATTTCACAGCAAGAGTTCTGTTTCCGTGCCTGAAGGTTAAACACAAATATGCAAATAGTTTGCCCTGCTTAGTAAATTCAGCATACAGTCTTAAAATTTAGCATAATGTCAATAAGGTGAGTCATTCACACTTACAGTCTTGTAGAAGGCTTTAGACTGGTTTCCCAGATGCTCCGACTTTGCCACAAGATCATCCAGTTTCTCTCCTCTTTCCAACAGACTTTCCATGGTGTTGTGCTGCAGACAACAAAATATTTATTTATGAAACAACAGAAACACTACAACTTGGTTTTAGTTAAGTAGATTGCCCAATATGGTTAAAAAAATTGCAGTTAATAAGAGAAAGTTGCCTTTCAATCCATTACATTTTGTCAGATGACAGGATAACATAAAGTCCAAATGCAAACCTTTCCAATCCTTGCCAATCTGGACCCTAAGCTATGAAACGAGTTCAACATACCCAGGGTATGTCTAACTCCAGAGAAATTATTAAATGTCTAAAGAACATAAAAATGTGAATGTAAAAGGAACAAAAAAATGCTTTTTTGTGCTTCATTCCTAAGTTTTAGTAAGGTATAGGTTGTGATGGCTTTTCCATCTGCATTCCAGAGGGATAAGGAATAACTATGAACACATCTGATTTCTGATGTAATTGAAAGCATGTATTAAAAATTTGTTTTAAGAGACCATCATCTCTTTCTGTGTTCTCATGCAATGCAAAATTTGAGTATAAATTAATGTGGACACTTTTCTACTTTGATTTATGTATGAACGGTGGTTTACCAAAATGATCTTTGTCTCATCCAGCTCTGCCTGCACTTTGGTCATTGCATCAGCTTCCCTGGGGTTCTGTGGACAAATACAAAAATACAACCAGCTATCAAGTAGATGCATTTTGCACTATACAAGGAAATTCTGCCAAATGATGTGAGAATCTGGTGATTATGGAGTCCTTCTGATATTGTTTTTAAATCACACAAACAGTCTAGTTGCAGTCATAGACTATCAGATCTTTCGTTAACATAAATTCTGAGAAGTAAAACAAACTGACCTGGTATTTAGAGAGGTGAATGTCAAGGGCTTTGTAGTTAATGGTGTCAGGATTACCAGAAGGCCAGTCTATACTGTCCACTTGCCTAGAGAACTCCTCTAATACCTAAAAAAACAAAACAATGTCAATATTGAAATCAACAACAAGTCTCATAATATATATATTTTTTAAAAATATATAAACCACCTTGTCAAGCAATGTGAAACAGACTCTCTGTGGATATTCAGTATCTGCGATGACTACAGCACCCAAATTGTCATTTCTCACATACACATGGCACAGGTACTCTGAAAGAAAGAAAAAAAAGGAGCAAGGTTTGTTGTTATCAGAACAATGTTCACCCGATCTTATTGTACAGGAAAACTACTGTGTCTACTGGTGCATTGAAGAAGGGCCAAAGAATAAAAAACCTTATTAAAATACAATTTAGCAAAATGTTCTCCATAAGACTCCCAAAATAAAAACAAACAAACAACACACACTGATTATGAAGCATAATTCTGTAATGACATTTGTTAAAGTCCATGTCACATGATATGATGATTCAGCCTGCATGAAATTGAAGAGGGGAAAAGCAGTCTGTGTACTCCAGGAACAAGGAAATGTTTAGCGTCATTGTTTTGAGACAGCTTACATTTTACTTTATTATCTCCAACTGTTTAAACTTGACTTAAAATGTCCATTTTCAGGCCAGAGAACATGTTACAGCCCCATCACAATTTCCCTGTCAAACATCAAATCACTTTTCAGCAGAAATCGCCTTCTGCCCTGCTGTGACACAGGACACTGCAGG